CCAATCAGACACGGCTGGCTCATTAGTGGAACAGGGATTGGAAGCCGCGGAGGAAGTCCACCAATCTAGGCATCTCGACTCAGTTCCTTCCAGTGATGGCACCATTCAATCAGAATTAAATCAGAGGATTGCCCTCGCCTCCAACGTTTTGGTGAGCAGTTAAACATTTGGGCTGAGAAATGAGCAGCTCATTCCACGGAAATGCACCTGTCGCTTGCATCGGTCGAGTAAGAGTGTTGTATGGCATAGAAGCAGTAGTTCTAATGAAGGAACAACAAAGAGTGTTGAGCTGCACACACCAACTTGGACGCATGACGAGGGCTAAATGGCAGGGCCATGTAACGAATGACTCCATTTTCTTCCAGGCACAGATGACCTCAATAAATGTGGCGATTAAGAAAAGGAGGTTAGCCCTGCTAGAAAAACTGGTGGAGCATGAACCATTAATTCCAGCTGTGGGCTTCTCGCGTGGGAGCCAAAACACGACAAAAGTCGATCGCGAGAATAACATACAATGTGAGGAATGAGGGAACGACAGATCTGCTGCGTGGAGGAGTTATTCCTCTACAATGTTGAAATCGATGCCTCAAAAAAATAGTGTCATAAATTCGCGAATCAACATAAACAACGGACATCATAAATCAAATAAATTATTCTGATACAAACGGCTCAAGATATTGATAACATAAAAACACACAAACATACACTAACAGATGCATCAATAGGATAGTGAAATGTTTAGACACTCCTGAGAATTTTCCAAACATAACTGTAGACTGTAGACGGCGACGGGCTGTCTCTGTGGGCAACTACTCCACATCATTTCAAAACGTCCTTATTTGCAAATGCAGCAGCATTTGTGATACCTGATCATCTCTAATGCACATGTCGAATGATGAAGACACGCGTCAATAGATGCGGTAGGCAACGAAGATATGCAATACTGTTTGAAGCGGTTGGTTAGCAGTGTTCAACCGCCAAAGCGAAAGGAAGCAAACAGTTAAAAGTCTCTAATAGCGTTTCTTAGATTTGCTGCCTCTTTCGAGGGCCACTCTTATCTACCTGTGGGAGTGAGTTGAGTTAACATAAGATATTCAGAAGAAAGTACTACTTAGGTAAAATTAATTTTCGCATAAGTAACCCCAGAGTTTCTTTCGCATGCAATTGTGCTTTAAAGGAGGCCTCTAAATGATCTGATAATTTGAAGTAAATTAGAATTCATAAAATATGAATATTTTTGTTATTTAAATACGGTAATTGGAGAGCGCGCCACCATTTTGAATCCGGGACTAGATCCGCAATGGTGTTACATTTCGAAATGGTGAATCGATTTTTGGAAGGGATAAACAAAGGAAAGTAACAGAGTAGGATAAAAAATTTCATATCTGCAATTAAACCGTGCAAAAATTATGAAACAGAATTATGACGTAGTAACGAAAGTCAAGGGCTAGTAATTGCGTGCGTTTTTTCATATTTGTTCATCTTGTCGCATGTTCGCCCTATCGCGATGGCCTTCAGAATTATTCTTCTCTTCCGGTTGGATTATCAAAATGTTAATCAAAACGTCAAAGACTTGGTACACAGCCACTTCCTCTGCAGATTGTGAAATCAAAGTTGCGATGGTTTGGTCATGCTTTGCGAATGCTCCCAGAATAAATGGCGAAACAGCTGATGCTAGGAGCGGCCGAAGATCAATAATGA